AAATTAAAAAAGATAGAATCATGATGCATCACCTCATCTAAAATATGTTCATTTTTAAAACCAAACACTCTATTAGATCTAAAAAATACATGAGAATGAAAACGGATGTAAACCAGCCTCCTGGGAAAAACATGAATGGATTTTTATTTGAAAGTCGTGATAAAAAATGAAATTGGGATATAAGGATATAAGCAAATACAGATGGAGAGCCCGAAAATTAAATTAGGATCAATTGGTCTAGTATTATCAAGTATGCACGTATAAAGTCTCACAACAATACACATGTACGAAGAACGGTCTAATATTCACTTGTATGTCATGTGTGTTAAAACACTAACATGTATAATTGATGATTAGTATGTGTATTAACATAACACAAGGACATATAATTGTTAGGCATCTATCTTATAGATTGAAAAGTTAGGCATGCACTCATCCCTCGTTGATTCCATCTCATTTCCTTCTACATGTCTTCCTCTTCCTTTTCCACGACACCGAGCTCAACCACAGCGCGAGTGGCCTTAGCCATGCGCGAGCAAGGCCACGGCCCATGTGTAGGTGGCCTCGTTCGACCTCTGTGAGCAGGTTGGGCAACGACTCGCTAATCGCCTATTTAGATACTCAGCCTCTGTTTGCATCTCACCAGCTCTAAGACTGAACAAGTTTAAGGACCTAAATGGGTGATTGGACAACACATGCGAACAAGTTTGAGAACTACCAATGGACTTTACCCAAACGAGAATATAACCATCACAAATCATACATGTCCTAACCTTTCCACGCGTGGAGGTAGGCAAAGACTATGTAATTCCTCAACAACGTTGAATGCTAAATAAATGTTTACCCTAACCTTACTTGACCTTCGATAAAGTTGAGGAAGACATGGGCTTCAATCACTGCTGGTGTGTTCGGTGCGGGCGTAGCTAGATCGGCTGTAGGCCGTACGGAAATTGGATGTCCGAGGTACAAAATTGAATTTCGAAGAACTATGGTACGTATGAGTGGTAAAAGAATCCAGCGTTTACTATCTTAAAAGTTATCTGAAATTTCGTTGCACAATTATGGATCTCACCAAAAGTGAAGAAAATGGTGACCACCGTGAATGCAAATATGGATTTGTTTTTGTTGATGACTTGAAGTCTAACTTTACCACAACAAAGGTTCAGCAAAGTATGGCAGCCACTAATGGTCTGTAGCAAAGTTTGACAATAAAATCTGACGCGATACTTATGGGCTATAGCAAAGTTTGACAATAAAATGAGTCATTTTTTATTTAAACTATGGCAAGTTCTAGTCATAAACCATAGCGCATGGCGAAACAAATTTCACAAAAAACAAACAACGCGCGGATGAATGATCGCAACCACTAATAACCGGCTAAACTAACTTATGTGCATACTAGAAAACAATCCCATAACATCAATTCTTCAAACATGGTGTTGTCCAAACTTCACAATAAGAAATATACAAGCAAAGATCAGCTCATTTACACATCAATCCCCATCATTAACGTATCAAAGAACTTATATATGCCTCATATGTCAACTCAATCATACACCATGAACTTGAACAAAAATGGCACCAATGGCAATCAAGATAAGAACCAATCAATAAATAGACACCAAGGTTTACGTGAAAATTTCTTACGACAAAAAACTACGAATGGCAATGAGCAAGCAATCCACTGTGAAGATGAATGATATGAGAGATGGGAGCCAACAAGATTGGGGAAAGCTCCAAATCCCCATAAATTTCACTTTTCTAGCGGTGAATTTGGTAGATCAAAACCTCACAATCTCCTATCTCGAATCCTAGCACCCCCTCGAAAGCAAATGAGCAAGCCCCACACACAAAAGAGGTCTCAGGTAGCCCTTTTGGGATAAAATGGACACTTTGTGATAGGCCCTCCAAAGTTGTCTTTTTCATAAAAAGTTTCTATACACCTAATCAAATACTAAATTCATTCCAAATTATAGTTCGTTTGACTTTTTTTACCTTAACTTTGACCACTCATCTTATTCAAAAATTTGTGCAGAATATCAGTTCATTTGTTGTGGCTTGCTTTATTAACAAAAATTCTTCAAGAATGCCTTAAATTTGATTATGTTTGCATAAATTTTTGAATAAGACGAGTGATCAAACTTGAGATAAAAAAATCAAATAAATTATAATTTAGAATGGATGGAGTATATAAACAATATTTTGCATATGTAATTGCTCGAGTGAGTCTCAAATGGTGTCAACAGGAGTTGCAACATCACACAGCCTTTGAAATCTGAGAAAAACTAAAACTTTTTAGAAGTTTGAATTTTTACAGGATTTTTTTTTATATTAGGAGCTGTTTGGATCCCTTTATTTTGGAGG